CTTACTTTTTTTAGATTTTAACATATCGGCGTACCCATATCGTACCTGTACCTATATCCGTACCGGCACCCATACTTCATAGAGGAGAAGTAGTGAGAACACCTAAATCAAAAAGAAGTCAATGAAGCCAGACTATCTCAACAATGATATGCGCCACAGCACGATATTTGGCCTTGGCAGTGGACTGGGCCACAACAAACTGTTTCTTACTACACCAAGAGATGAGGGAGTCACCAAGAAAGATGCATAACAATAAGTAATTAAGAACCTGACCGTATAATTTTTCCAGGGGGATACACCGGAAAGAAGAGAAACAATATTTTGCATTAATCTAATAAGATTACAAACACCAGTATATATAACAAAAGCTAAATCCTAATTAGGAAACTATAACAAAACAAATGCTAAATTACACTTACATAAAAACTAATATTACAACTCTCATAGTAACAACCCTAAACCCTAATAATTATTTTCATTATTTTAGTTGTTTCTAGATCACATGTTGGTCTCCAACTACCAGACTATACATAATGCTGCTCATAAAAACCCGCAATAGCCCTTATAATATCCTCCTCCAACACGTATACCAACTTTTATTCTTGATCTCTCAACAATTTTTTTTTAGAAACAAAGCAACTGATTAGAATAACATATACTTGAGTCTAACAATTATGTGTGGAACCATAAAGGTAACAAGTGACAACATCTTGTCCAAAGGCTGTTATAACTGAAAATGAAGCCATGATTCTATTACCTACTTAGAACATAGGAATTGCATGTGTATTTATCAAAAAAAAAAAAACATAGGAATTGCATGTAGACGAGGGGCATCAAGAAATTGAGAAAGGAATGTATTTGGGGAATCAAAATTAAATTTATTTCCTTCAGTAACTAAGGCTTTGTTGACTCTAAAAAATATATAAGAGAAAAACAAAAAAACAAAAACATATAAAACACATGTTTCTAAATGATCTTGGGAAGAGAACTTCATAACACTACTTCTCTTGCTGGTTAGGGCAAGGTTCTTTCCCTCTCTCTTCTCTTGTGGGGGGAATAGAGAGCTGGTTTTCAACAATTCTTCATCCATTATCTCAAAAAGAAAGACATTGGGGTGACATATATTATGTATAATAATAATAATAATAATAATAATAATAATAATAATAGAGAGAGAAGAGAGAAAAGAGAAGAGAAAGTTGATTCTCAATTTACAATTGATAAAAGCAAGCTCAATCGCATCGCACAGCTAATCACACTAAATCCACCTCAAACTGATAAACGAAGCTAACATATACATCATAAAAAAAAAGAAAGGACAAAGTACTCAAATTTCTAAGCATCTATGTATATATGTGTAATTAAACTAGTAAGTAGCTCCAGTCAATTAAAATCCTACTTTATTTTATATAGTTTTTATCAATATTGTAATAATAGTATAACAATCTAGGGTAGTTTTTGTTATTCAAATTCACTGTTCTTACTACCAACTAACATTAACTTCTACTCACATGCCTTGCACATTTTACTTACATCAGGACACCACTCTTAAAAGAACTTGTCCTCAAGTGAGGGACGAAACAAAGAAGCAACTACTAGAAACAATCAATAAAAGCAACAACACCACCAACTAATCTATTACATAGGGAACTTGTTAAAATTCACCTACTACACACCTACCACTACCACCTACTACACACTCACCTACTTCACCTACTCTCCACCTACTCCTCACCTACTCCATACCTACTACACTCACCTACTCCATACCTACTACACACTCACCTATTCTCTTCCCACATCCTCTCTTCTATATATAGGAATCATTGTAATATATCAATATATATGAATCAATAATACAATTCTTTATTTCTCTTTATACATTAAATTTCTACATGGTATCAGAGCTGGTTTAGAACCTAGTATTTTCGCTTCACCGGCGGGCGGCAACCTCACCTTGGCCGCCCGCCGGACCTCAATCTAATCCGCTAGGACCTCTACACATACCTTCTCTCCCGCTGTTTTGATTCGGAGTTAGCGGAAGCTGTCACTCTCTCAGTTTCCAGATGAACCATCATCCAAGCTAAAGCATGATGAGCGTGGTCTTTTATCAATGGCAGCAGCAGCATCTCCCGAGACTCGATCTCCCTCTCTTTCTCAGCCCCTGATTCTTCTTCGTCAAGCAACCACCATGGCATAGAATAAGGAGCTTCCTCCATCTCAGCCACTGCCGTAGCCCCTCTCTCGGGCATGGGCTGTCTGTCTCTCTCGGCTCTCTCTCTCGGCTCTCATCTTGGTTGTTTTTTGGCTCTCCACCAACTATGTTTTTGTCTCTATAATTGATCTAGGCTTGGGATCAAGGAGCAAGGCCCCGGCAGATGTTTTTGTCCTCTTTGAAGAACGTCTGCAGATGTTCATTAAAGAATATCGGATGATGGAGGCAATGCTAGGAAAACTTGAAGATGAACATGAAGAGGCTATTGTCAAAATTGACAAATGATCTTTGCTATTCTGGTTTCCACCCCGGCTTGCATAAAAACATGCTTGTCGAAAGGTGTGCTCAACCCGACATCTGTCCAGAATTCACTTTCAATACTTGTTCTTGATGAGGCAGATCTTCTTTTTGAGGAAAACATTTTTTTAATATTTTCACCTCAACCTCTCCCTCTCGGCAGACCTATGCACATGGGCACACACTCACCACACAACCCAGATGTGCACGACATCCCTCTCTCTTCATCATGTAGCCCACTCTCTCTCTCTATCATCATTCCACCATTTTGAAGTGAATAGTGCTGGTGGGCCCTAGCAATAGCAATTTATAATCATAAGTTCTCTCTCTATCATGAGGGAGAAAAGGAGAGCCTGGAGCTAAAGCTTAAAACACATGCACACCACCATCACTACACCCAACTTTCTTTTTATTATTTTATTTTTCTTTTTCTTAAAACAGAACCAAAACCAGTCTACTTGTCAACCCATCATCCACATCTTTGTTTTGACAAAAACCCAATTTTATTTATTTTATTTTATCTTCTCTTTTCTATTAAAAAAAAAACTTTCTATTCATTCCATCTCATTTTTCTGCTCAGTCTTGTACCTTCAAGCCATTTGGATTTGCATAACAACCCATATTTTATTCATTTCAGGGATCAACCCCGATCACCATTTTACACACACACACACACACACACACAAAAAAAAAAAAAAAAAAATTGCTTTTGTCATTAATATTTTATTATTATTATTATTATTATTATTAAAAAAAAAAAAAAAAAAAAAAAACAAAACAAAACAAATCCAACACCCACAAACAAAAGATTTGTTTTCTTTTTCTGCAGACGGTCATCCACCGACCTCACTTCTTCGCCTCTTCCGCCGGTGTTTTCTTCTTGCCTCCGTCCTGGGCGGTCCTTGACGGTGCTGCCTCCGTGTTTCCCACGCCGCCGAGCACGTTCACTCCCCCATACTCCTCCACTGCCGCATATGGCGGACCTCCAAATCGGAACATCACAGTGGCCTTCCACTTCAGCTCCTTGTTTTCTGCCTTTAGCACACTTATCTCTGCTCGCGCATCCTTATACATGCGTTGGAGCAGAGCCAGTTGGGCGTTTAACTGCTGCACCTCATTTGTCCTACTCTGAAGCCGGTGCGACAAGTTTGTTACCGCAGTCATGGTTTCCACACATGACTTCAAAGTATACTGATTGGCTTCAATATCCGTTTGGACTGCCATTTTTTGCTCCACAGATCGCATCGGAAAGTTCAACGGAGCAAAACCAGAGGTGTTTGGTTGAGGTTCACTGACCACCGCACCAGTTATTTCTCTTGTGGACTCGTTCAGGTCTGTAAAGAGCGTGAGCAGACCACGGGAAGAGGAGGCCATGTTCTGGGTCGCTGGACGGGAAGAAGAGGCCATGTTTTTGGGTTGTTGTGTGTTTCAACGAAGTAGCGATTTCCGACTGGTACTTTCAGAGAAGGATTGGCAACAGAGTGTTACAGAGTATCTCTCTCAGAACACAAATGGTTTTTCAAAGGATTTTCGCAGGTTTTTTTGTCTCAGCCTCTGCCTTCGCCTCAGCCTCCGTCTTGGTTAAATAGCCAAGGCAGACACGCGCATCATGCGCCGCTCGGCGCTCAACGACAACATGGGCGCGCCTTTTGATGGCACGCCTTTTGATGGATTGGGCACGCCTTTTGATGGCACACCTTTTGAAAAATTGGGCGCGCCTTTTGAGGGCGCGACTTTTGAGGGCTCATTATATATATCCATATATATATATATTTGGGCAGCCTATATACACCATCATACAGTGTATTTTTTAAGGGTCCGACAAGACTCTGTAAACTGTCCCGACATAGATTCCGGTTAGTTTCTACAAGGGTCCAGCAAGACTCCGTAAACTGTCACAACAACTGTCACAACACCGTCTGCTACAACGGTCCGACATGACCCCATAAACTGTCTTCTACATCGGTCTGACACCGCCATCCAGTGTCCTCTACACCGTTATGACACCACCATACAGTGTCCTCTACATGGTTATGACACCCCCATATAGTGTCCTCTACAACGTTATGACACCACCATTCAGTGTCTTCACCAATGGTTTGACACGACCATACAGTGTCTCCTATCCTCTTTTATTTTTATGTATTTTCTTGTTTTGTTACTCTCTCCAAACTCAAGTTGGTTAGTTCCTATCCCCCTTGAGTTTGCGGGGGGCTGTTAAAATTCACCTACTACACACCTACCACTACCACCTACTACACACTCACCTACTTCACCTACTCTCCACCTACTCCTCACCTACTCCATACCTACTACACTCACCTACTCCATACCTACTACACACTCACCTATTCTCTTCCCACATCCTCTCTTCTATATATAGGAATCATTGTAATATATCAATATATATGAATCAATAATACAATTCTTTATTTCTCTTTATACATTAAATTTCTACAGAACTCAATGTTGAACGTTTAAGGTATTAGAAGTATTCATATGAGGCAAGTGCACTTGATAGGCGTTATAGTTGATCTTACTCAAGATCCCACAATGATCCACTTTCTAGTCATTGAGCTTCATATAGAAACCATGGGGTTGACTATCCTTTGTCAAAACCACCCAAACACAATGGAATTTCTCTTGTTATCGTGATTAGGTACCCTGTTAAGATTTCTTAATGTGAAACGGATTTTATCCAATGTGAATTCTCCACTCATATTGAAATATTCATGCATTAGGGGTACATGTGCCAAGGCAGAAAGCTTTGTAATATACGAATATGATTCTCTCTTCTTTTGTCTAACAAGCCTTGCAAATACTTAATTTACAACAGATGTGTCGCACACCAAACCACATCCGTATCATGCACTTTTTTTTTTATTATTGGCAACCATATCCACATCATGTTATGTCCAAAAAATGCTTCACCTATTGTGATGTTTCTATACATCAAAATAGAAAGACATGGTTACTCATATGTAAGCCCATTGTCCAAGGACCAAGCAGTCAAAAAACATGAAAGCAAAATTAATCAACAAATCCACATAGGTGATAGGACAACAACTCAACACTAAAACACATTGAATCAGATATGATTATGACAATGACAAAATATATGTACACACACTTTAAAGAACAAAAGAGAAATACAACAATAATAAAAGCAAATTAATTCAATACCCCTCTTCTTGTGGTCACATTAGTCGTATAACTCGTAGGTTTAGGTACCACAGCTCGAATCCATTTCTGTGACTTGGCTAAAATCTGAAATGTTGAGAGAGATCAAATAAAATGAAATATGTTCACCAATTATGTAGAATGTACTAGTTTAAGTCCACATAGCAATACCGTAAAAGAAGAAACTCCCAAAGCTCCAGGAGAAACTTTTTGTTTCAGAATCCTATACATTCTTGAAAATTGATCTAATCACTGAGAAAAAGGAAAAAGTAAACTTTCATCAATATTCCCATGAAACTCCTACTTAAAATAACATACCTATCTGAAACATATATAATTAGAAAAACAATAAATTTAAATATCTTAACAACTCATAAACCGTAATATATTAGGAATTCTGCATTGCATATATCTAGAAATGAAGTACCATGAGGGAGAATAAAAATTTAGAATGATATAGCACCTTAACCACTAACATAAATGCCCGCAATTTTAAACTACACGATCAAAGAACTATATGAAGGGTTCTCTTTTTCATCGCTGAAAGGATAAGGAAAAAAACAAAATGCAAAGTGACAAGATTAAGATCACACACTTTATTTATATAACCACATCATTCGCATCACATCCTTTGTTAACTTCTAATAACAAAGTACCCTACAGTCCACACTTGCTAAACTCCTATACACAGCTTAGGTTGCTCCAAATTTGGTGAAACATTGTCTTATGATTGTCCCCTAATGCAATCAGAAAAAGGAAGAACTTAAATTATTTAGCATGTTATTCTTATCCAACTCCTTATCCCATTACAATCTCCTAAATTATAGTACCATGTTCATACATAATACTAAGGTTCTTTAATCTAGCCTATAGGTCTCCCCCTCCGTAGTGGTTTGCTTTGACACCAAATGATACAACCCATTGATAGAACTCACCCTTGGAAATTGGCTTGCAAGTAGTAGCAACTCAAGGAGTAAGCAACTCTGGTGCTTGCCTAAGGCCCCAAGTAAAGGAGACCTTACTTTTTATATCTTCACATTACAATGTGTATATACACAAAAAGAAATGGAATTATTATTCACACTCAACATTTTTGTTGCATACACTCACATTTTTTTCAAAGACACAATGTGTAGTACAAATAACAAAAAGTGAAGTGCGAATAACAACTCCCAAAAAAAAACCATCAATCAAAATAATTATTAAAAGCCAAAAAAGTAGTGAAAAAACTTTTCGTAAATAAATGAAAATGGTCAAATCTTAAATTATCAAAACAGAATACCACACTTCATCAGGTATCCTAGTCTCTTCATCAAATAAAAAATAAAGCAAAACAACCTATCATCAGATACAAAAAGGGTCTCATCATTATATTAACACTTATTTCGGTCTCTTTGTCAAGACAAAACAGCCCTCTTTATACCACTCCCTTGGCAGGTTCTCTCTCTACATTACAACAAAAATAAAAACTCTCTCATTATATAAAACTCTCTTTCTAGCTCTCTATGTCATACTCAGAAAGTGCCCCTACCATTAAATAAAAGCTCATCAAAACCGTCTTAGTCATATCAACAACAAAAAAAAGTTCTCTTTATATAATTGCTTCTTTTTTTTCTTTTTCTTTTTCTTTTTCTTTTTTCGCGTCAAAATAAATCAAAAGCAATGTGCACTTCACTTTGCCAGTATATCAAGCAGATCAAAACAAAACAACTCATTTGATTGCATCCCTCTCCCTTTTCTTCCTTTGCAGTAAAAATATCATCTTGTCTACAAAAAGTAATCGTCCTTGGTTATCAAATTATAACTAGTATACTAAGAAGCACAGACACTTCTAAGAAGATGATGTATCCATGTCGTGTCCATATTGGACACCGACACTCTTTGGACACGTGTCCGACACTCTTCAAAACATGTCCTATTTTTTAAAAAAATTTTAAAGACCCAGACACTCTTTGGACACTTGGAGAACACACATGTCAATCACTTAAACACATGTGCCTATCGATTAGACACATATGAAACTAATTATAAGTTTAAACAAAACAACTTGATACAATAATAAAACAAAAATCATATAAATTTATAAGAATTAGTATCATATTATATTTTTTATTATCTTTAAATGACATATTCATATATATAACATATAATAAATATATAAAATTATATATTTCTTGCGTGTCCCCCATGTCGTGTCCTGCATTTTTTGAAAATTAACGTGTCGGCATGTCCATGTCGTGTCACGTGTCCGTGTCCCTGTCCATGCTTCTTAGCAAGTACATTTATTTCATTTTCTAGTATATTGTGTTTTTGTTTTCTACAAAAGTATGAAATCTTATATAATTTGATTTATTGATTATCAAAATCGTTTTGATTGCAAAGGTTAAGGATATTAGATGATTTGGGTCAAGCAAAGAAATACAAATTAGAATAAATAAATTTGTTTTAATTGTGGAGGTTATGTATTTTAAATTAAGGCACAATCACAAAATAAATGTCTGTGTATATATATATATACACGCATCAATCACAACATGTATAACAAGATGCAGAAACACATTTCCCTGATTCTAGACGGTGATTATTCAGAAACACATCATATAATATAATTGAAAAGTTCGCTTCTTTTCTTTTGGTTTTCTAGGCAACCAAACGGAGGGTGAAAACAAAAATTACCAGTAGCAGCACTCGCTTATTACCAGACCAGAGAATCACAGTCGCAGGAGCGTCACCCCTCTGGGTTTTTTTTTCCTTTGTTTTTAATGATTTGGAAAATCTTGCATGTCTGATGGCGGCCTGACCTCTTAAGGGGAAATTATTAAGTATTGCCCAACCTCCTCTTCATTTTTTAAAGGGTCTCAAATTAGGGGAAAAGCCAAAATTACTGTTTGGTAAGTGATTTTTTTTTTTTAAGATACTTTTTTATTTTTTTTATTTTTAATATGGAGCTACAAAAATGGGGTTGAATTTTTCAAGTTGGTCCTTCAATTTAGAGCAAATTTCATTTTTACTTCTATACTTTTACACAATTTTCAAGTACATTCCTAGACTTTGAATAATTTAAATTTTACTCCCAAAATTTTTGAAATCGTATCACTTTTACCCTTACCGTTAGGGGTGCTTGCGAATCGGATTTGTGCGGTTTGTGGTCCGGTTTTGACCCGTCCGCACCTATGCGGTTTGGGGAAAAGTCAAACCGCAACTGCCTGCAGCGCGGTTTGTGGTTTGTGTGGATAGAGTTTGCAGATGTGAGGGCAGTTGCGACGGTTTGCGGTTTGGATTTTTTCCTTTAAAAATTAATTTTTGAGTTTTTTTTCCCCAATTTTGTAAATATTTACTTTAGGTCATTTTCTTCCAATTTTCTAAAATGTTTCAACATTAATAATTAATTAATTAAAATTTATAAAATTAAAAACACAACAAAATCAATTCCTAATACAAACAAATCATTTAAAATCTTAAAATCATTCAAAATCATTCAAAATCCTAAAATCATTTAAAATCTCAAAATCATTCAAAATTAATCTACTACCCAACAATACAATTCCTAAGGTAAATCATCAATGTCATTCTCCAACTACTTTCTCAACATTCTTCATCTACTACTACTACCCAATAATACAAAATTAAAGTAAAATCATTCAAAATCTCAAGCTTCCCTCAAAGTAATTCTTCATTTACATTCATCCAAAATGCAATAATAAAATGAAAAAAATAAAATAAAATTGTTGTCAAACAAACTTCATTAACTATTACATTCATCCAAAATACAATAAAAATAAATTAAAAAAATTTGTTGTCAAATAAAATAAAAACATTTGCAACACAATATCTCAAAACTCCATCATCATGAATCACATATCCAAGTTCCAAAAATTTCAATTTCATGCATTTGGTTGATGAACCCTGTACAAAAACAAACTAAAAAACAAAAAAATTAATCTTTAATTTTCAATCTCCATAATTCCTTTGACAAAAAAAGTGTAAAAGAATAAAGTAATGAAAAGATAAACAAATGTCTATATATTACATCTCAATATAGTAAGAAAATGTGTTGAGTGTATGAAAAATTTGTTGGCGTGAGTGAAGGTCCCTACATAGCATAATATTGCTACCTTCGTTATGCATACCATACTTAGAATATATGGTGTATCATTTCTTATTGACTGATTATATCTCTTCCTTATTGAGCGCACCTCCTCCTATATAAAGGTGTGCTCTGGGCTTGTCTGCACTGGGCTTGTCTGTTGTTCTGTTCTCACCAACTCTGGGCTTGTCAAGTGTTCTGCACTGGGCTTGTCTGTTGGCCTGGTGGTCGTGTGTCTGCACTGGGCTTGTCTAAGGGAGATGGATTGATGGTTTGTGAATGTGGAACGGTCTTCTGGAGTTTGGACTGCTGCACTAATGAATCTGCACTATACTATCTGTTCAATCTGCACTGGGCTTGTCTGTTGTGCTGGTCTGAGATCTGGTCTGAGGTCTCCAACCCTGTTTGGTCTGAGGACTTTTTTGTTTTTTTGTTTCTTCAGTTGGTTGCTCACCAACTCTGGAGGTACTGCAAATGATAGGATGGGCTTTTTCGTGCCAACCTAGTTGGGATGATTCAGTCCATCGTGATGCTTCTGCACTTTCCTTTCTTTATTGATGTATTTGTCTTGTACTTTGTACTTTATTTTACATCAATGAAGCTTCTTTGTCTTGCTGTTCAAAAAAACAAAAAATATAAAGGTGTGCTCTGTTCTCATAAGAAATATAAAAGAATTCAATTCTTCTAGTTGGTATCAAAGCCTATCATTGTCGCCTCTGTAATCCTTCTTGTGGCTGGCCAACTCACAAACACACAGTGCTACCTTCTGTTCCCGTTGGCAGTCCCTCCAAACCCTCTAACAAATATACAAATCCTTTTCTCTCCATAACCATGACTGATGGATCTCCCTCTACCTTGATGAATTCGTCTTCTTCCACCACTCAAGTGGTCACTATCCATAGCGATTCCGCTGCCGCATCATTCACCATCAAATTAATTGAGACCAATTACAAGACATGGTCTCGCATGATGATGCTACATGTTACCGGCCAAGACAAACGAAGCTATTTGACGGGCACTATAGTGGCAGTACCCGAGGGTGATCCTGGGTATGCAAAATGAAGCAAGGAGGACTCTATCGTACGGGGCTGGATGGTGAAGACCGTGGATCCTCAGTACCTAGAACTCTTCCTCGATATGCCTACTGCCAAAGACATGTGGAAGACTATCGCTCATATGTTCTACGATGAATCAAATGTGTCCCAGATGTACGAACTTCGCTGCAAATCCACACGCATCAAGCAAGATGGGCGTGAGTTAGCATTGTATTTTGCTGAGATGAAACGAATCTGGCAAGAACTTGATCAACGCCGTCCCATCGCTATGAAGTGTGCCGCCGACATCAAACTTCGCCAAGATGAAATTAGAAAGGATCGTTTATACGATTTTTTGGCAGGCTTAGATGATGTCTATGATCAAGCTCGAAGCGACCTGCTACGACTACGTCTCATACCTATTTTGAATGAATCTTTCAATTACCTTCATCGTGAGGTTCAGAGGCGTGAAACCATGTTGAAGAAAACTAGTGATACCATCAGTGCTTCGGCTGCCTTACTTGTGAAACCCATGCCTGGGCGTCTTCCTTCCTCTTGGTCTGCATATGAAAACAAAGATGACCTACAGTACACTCATTGTAATGGCGAACGGCACACCGAAGATACCTGCTTCCATAAGTATGGCTACCCCGACTGGTTTCTCGAACGACGCAAACAACTCAAAGCAACCCGCAGGCCAAGTCTACCCAAACCAGCAGGCTCTAGTGCTGGTTTGGCTGCTATCGCCTCCTCATGTGAGTCGACTCCTTCGGCTGCTGGTTAAGCTGCTGGCTTGGCTGTACCGGTTCTCTCTCTACTCTCTCAGGTGGACCAATCTGAGACCTTCGAGGACACAGGTCCATCGGGCCACGCACTTGTTGCCTCTGATAGTTCACATACATGTTGGATTATCAAATCCGGTGCAACGGATCATATGACATATGATAAAACCTTATTCCACTCTATGACTACCCTTAAGAAAACAAGTGTTGTCACTGCAAATGGTGACTCCAATCCCGTACTTGGAGCTGGTTTTGTTGTCATCTCTTCTACCTTGTCTTTACATAACACCTTATTTGTTTCTACCTTGTCTAACCATTTGCTCTATGTTAGTCAAGTTACGGAACAACTCGGCTGCGTTGAACTAATGTTTCCTTCATTTTGTTTACTACAGGACATTCAGACGATGGCGATCATTGGGCGTAGTACTAAGAGAGAGGGATTATATTATGATGATGATATGGTTGTGGGATACGTTCATCAAGTTCGCGGCACTCACAGTGAAAAAAGAAAAAAGATTTGGTTATGGCAAAAATGACTTGGGCATGCGTCATTTGGTTATCTAAAATATTTACTTTCTTCATTGTTTGATGGAGTCAAGCTCTTTGACTTTACTTGTGAAAGTTGTATTCTTGCAAAAAGTCATCGTGTTTCTTATTTTCCCAGTTTAAATAAACGAGACACTCCTTTTGCATTGATTCATTCCGATGTATGGGGCCTATCCCCTATTGTTACACCTTTCTGGCATTCAGTGGTTTGTTCTTTTTGTGGGTGATTGTACTTGAATGACCTGGCTATATTTGTTAAAAAATAAAAGCGAAGTCACTGCCATATTTTGGGCCTTTTTTTCGGATGATTCAAACACAATTTTCTTCTCCCATCAAGGTGTTTCGCTCCGATAGTGGTGGCGAATTTATCAACCACCCACTTTCAAAAAAATTTCAGGATCATGGAATACTTTCTAAAACCACCTGTACCAAGACTCCTGAACAAAATGGGGTCGCCGAGAGAAAAAATCGCCACATCCTTGAAACTGCCCGAGCTCTATATTGGCTGGCAACATCCTCCAGCGATATTGGGCTGATACTATCACTTATGCTGTGTATTTGTTAAACCGTATGCCATCTCGAGTCCTCGTCTTTCACACTCCATTGGCAATTTTAGCTACGTCTCTATCACATTCTCCTTAAATCTCCCTCCTTAGATTTTTGGTTGTGTTGCTTATGTCCATCTCCATAAACATTATCGCAGTAAGTTGGACCTGTGTGCTCTCAGTGTGTTTTTTTGGGGTTTTCTCCCTAGAAAAAGGGCTACAAGTGCTACCACCCATCTTCCCAACGATGGTATATTACCATGGATGTTACCTTCCTTGAAAGTGAGATGTTTTTTTCCACCACTTTGCCCAACCATGTTCTTTAGAGGGAGCATCACAGTCATCCAGGTGAAGAACATATTTGGTTTGATGTTAGCATGAGTACTAAATCACCTATAGAGTTGTGTAACATTTCCGAGCAAGCAACTTTGCCTTTGCCTACTTCCCCCTCTCTCATCACTTCAGTACCTGCCCAGCCTGCTTTGAATGTTCTTGAGGTAAGTCTTCCAGAACCCAGTTTTATTTCTGCTCCTATTAATAATATTGAACAATATTACCAGTTGCCTCACAGAGAGAATCGGGGTAAACCACCTAATAGATATTCACCAGAAGGAAAAACTAGATATGCAATTGCTAAATATGTGTCCACATACAAGCTGTCAACACAATGTCAAGCATTTGTTAACCAGATGGGAACAGTTGTTATACCAAACACAGTAGATGAAGCCCTCAAAGATCTGAAGTGGGTAAATGCTATGAAAATGGAGATGGAAGCATTAAAAGAAAATGGGACTTGGGATATTGTTACATTG